ATGTCAGCAAGTAAAATAGTTACAGTTTCTTCTTCATGAAGACTACATTTAATTGAATTTTCATTAATTGATTAATTCATGCACTCATTATATTAGGTAAGATGAAGTTTAGCTCTGTGTGACAGGAAACTTGAAGTAGCAAGGGTTTAAATAATTGCTTCATGTAAATATACATCATCCAGACCTCAAACTGTGGCTCTAGCATCATGAAAAACCTTACGTTCTTTGATCTTGCTACTCTAATGTTTTTAACTAGTGTATGCATTTAGCTTTTGAGTCTGTTTCCTTTCACTTAGCATAACTCATTGAAATATGTAATGTTTGTATCAACAGTTCATTCCTTTTATCTTTGAGTAACATTTTATATTATGGATGTAATCAGTTTGTTTATTTATTCCCCAGTAAAGGGATTTTGGGTTGTTTCAAGATTTTAGCTATAAAATAGCTATATGTACTTAACAGGTTTTTGAGTAAACATAGGCCTTTTATTTTACTTGAGTAGATATCTAAGAGTGGGAATATTAGGTCATATGGTTAAGTTTATATTGAACTTTATAGAAGCTACGAAATTATATTTAGAGTGGCCGATCCATTTTGCTTTCCCACAAGCAATGTGTGAGAGTTCTGATTGCTCTGCATTCACAGCATTTGATATTTTATTAGAAGTATAGTAATATCATTGTGGTTTAATCGGTAGTTCATTAATTACTAACGATAATGAACTTTTTTCCCCCCCAATTGTATATCTTCTTTGGTAGAATGTTCAAATCTTTTGTTCATTGAAAAATTTTGGTTGTTTTCTTATTGTAGAGTTTTGAGAGTTTTTTTAAAAATATATATTGGCTACGCTACAAATCCTGTGTCAGATATATGATTTGCAAATATTTTCTCCCAGTCTATGTTTGTCTTTTCATTGATTCAACAGTGTTGTTGGCAGAGCAAACATTTTTAGTTTTAATAAAGTCCATTTTGTGTAGTCTTTTATGGATTGTGCTTTGTGTCTTAACATTGGTTTTTTATATATTAAAAATCAAATTTATTTTAAAAAAGAATAAATTTGGCCCTGGCTGAGTAGCTCAGTTGGTTGGAGTGTGGTCTCAATGTGCTAAGGTTGCAGGTTCCACCTCCGGTCAGGGAACATGCAGAAATCGACCAATGAATGCATGGATAAGTGGAAAAACAAATTGATGTTTCACTCTCTCTCCCCGTTCCCCTCTAAATTAATATATAACAATTTAAAAAATTAATAACAAAACAATAAATTCCTCCTAGCAACAATAGAATATCCACAAATAGTATATTACCTATATTTCCTAAATGTGACATCAAGCAAGAAGAAATTAGATCATTTATGCCAGAAGAACCAAATTAGTGTTATGATAAGGATCTAATGATATTAATTTTTAAAACATAGCACTAAAGTGTTTTAGATTTTGTACAACAGTAGCATGTCAATACATGAAACAAAATGCTTTATGTGCATTTCAAATACCCATTCATTTATTCACCTATTTATTTATTTTTAAAATTTTATTGAGTGCCCTGGCAGGTATGGCTCAGCTGGCTGGAGTTGCCCTGTGCACCAAAAGATTGTGGGTTCGATTTCTGGTCAGGACACGTACCTGAGTTGTGGGTTTAATCTCTGGTCAGGAGAAAACCAGTTGATGTTTCTCTCTCTCTCTCTCTCTCTCTCAAATCAGTAAAAAGTGTCCGCAGATGAGGAATAAAAAAAAATTTATTGAGCACTTACTATGAACCAGGCACTATGTTCTAGCAGGGATATATAGATAATATGATGGGATACAGAAATTTGGGCAAGTAAATCAATGTATTATAACATAATATGGTAAGAACTATGGTTGGCATATGTTTAAAGTAAACCATGCTACTTTTTACATATGTAGTGATTTCATCACACTTATGTCTGTTTACAATTATTTGTTTGTGTGACTTGATTTAATATTTGTTTCTTCCATGGTGTGCTCCAGGAGTATAAATATGTGTTTTAGTCATTGTGATTAGTGCCACACATTGTGGCATAATAGGCATCGGGTTAATAGTTGTTGAATAAATAAAGTGCTTGCTATTGGAGTACAGAGAACAGGAGATGCTAATTCTGGCCCTGTCAGTTTTGAAGACTTCATTAAAAAGGTGATATTTTAAGTGAGTCTTAAGCAGACATAGGAATTGATGGTGGGGGTAAGGCTGGTGAGGAAGAGAAGGGTGGCATCCCAATACTCTCCAGTCTTAGCAGTGGACATGTGAAGTCACATAATATGTGTGCAAAGGACAAAAATTTGCAGTGGGGCAGGATCACCCTGTATAGGGAAGTATGAAGGCAGGAGATGAGGCCAACATGGAAGGCTGAGGTCGGGCTGGGAGGGACAGGCCTGGCCAGCCAGGTACCAGGTTTGAAATTCACAGCAATGAGGTTGGGGGTGGGGGGAGTGGGTGGATGGAAAGCTTTTAAGCTTTTAAGTGACATAATCGCCTTTGTCGTCCTTAAGGAGCCATGGTGGCATTGTGGTTGACTGGATAGTAGAACAATTAAGGCTGCTGTGGCAACCTGGGTAAGAAATGATGAGGCTGTGGCAGTGATAGCATAGGTTTTGAGGATGGAGAGATCTGAAAGCTGCTCCAGGAGACAGAGTTCAAGGACATGGTGATTGAAAAGAAGTGAAGGGTAAAGTAGGAGGATTTAATATTTTAGCTCTCCTGATGGCTGCCTGAAGAGTATCGTATGTTGGGAATAAACATATTTAAAAATGTTTTCCTAAATAATATGTTGCATACTCTTTAGAAAATATGGTAAAGTATAAAGAAGAAAACAAACAAAAAAAATCATCTATTATCCCACCACACAGAGATAACCCTTGCCTGGCGAAATTTCGAGTGCATATTTTTCTATGATTTTAAAAAAATATTTAAAAAAATCACACTTATTCTATTAACACTTGTCTCAATTTTTTCCCATTTGCCCTCCTCCACCCACCCCCTGCTCCCACAATCAATCCTCACACTGCTGTCCATGTCCATGGGCCACTCATACATGCTCTTTGTCTAGCCCCTTCCCCTTCTTTCTACCATTGTCCTCCTTCCCCATCCCCTCTGGTCACTTTCAGTCTGCTCCATGTTTCCATGCCTGTGGTTTATTTTGTTCGTTAGTTTATTTTGTTGAATAGATTCCACTTATAGGTGAGAACATACGGTATTTGTCCTTCACCGTAAAAATATGTTTTTTAAAAGAGATCCTAAGGATTCTGTCTCCATCAGGAACAGAGTCCCATGAACTGTAGTAATATATTGAATTTCATTTTGAACCCAAATAAGTTTTTACTAAACTATGAGCTGAGCCAGTTAAAAAAAAATCAAGATTAAGTGAAATACGTATATGGACAGGAATTTTAGAAAAAGGAATTTTTCCTAGACACTAAAGAAGTGGCCAGTGATGACACCCAGGACATGCCCTGATCAGTACCAGATTCTAACTCACAGAGTCACCGAGAGAGAGCTCCAGGTTCGGTTTGATTATTTCATGTTCAATTCTTTTAGCCCCGCAGGGAGGCAGCACTGCAGTGACCACCTCCCGTGTCCAAAGGTTCTAAACATAAACTAAGTAAGAGAAAAACTTTCTGAGATCCAGAAGCTCTTAACCAAAAAATACATCATCCGAGGCCCTTCCAGGCAGAGGGAATCAGAGGGAGTTTAAAAAACAAACAAAAAAATTGATATATTTATGAGTAGATTATGGGGAACAGCAGAGGCAGGGAGTTTCGGAGGAGGCCTGCTCGAAGAGAAGCTCGAGGAATAGAAAGGTTGAGGGACCCACAAGATGTTCAAATGTAGCCTCTTGGGCGGGCTGTCCTCGGGAAGGCAGCCCTGCAGTCCCGGGTACCCGGCGGAGGTGGGGCGATCCCTAGCCTCCAGCTCCATGCTCCCAGGTGGACCCACGCATTCCTTCCTGCGGACCTTCTCGGGGACCTTCCCAATCACCCTCTCCCACGCCAGCCCTCCGTGGTGCTCAGAGAGAAGGCGAGTTAGTGCCGCCTTCCGCTTCCACTCTGAAGCTCTGGATTGAAAAGTCTAGGAGAGTCAAACACGATTTACAACGAGAGAAAAATCAATACGTCATGAGAGGCTGGGAGGAGAAGGGCTTTTACCTGGGAAACGATATGGCAGAAGGTGGGAGAATTATGTCTACCAAAACCCACAACCGGATTCCCACTTCCTCGCTAAGACCTGCCTCTCCGACTCTCTTCCCCCTTCATTGTTCGCTCTGCAGTCCAAGTCCTCTATTGCAAACGTTAGGTGGTCTAGGTCTGATCTGGGTTCGGAGTTCGATTTGCTTTTCAGCTCCGATTCTTATGTGCAATGGGTGTCGCGCGGCCGTGGAGTGGCGGGGAGTAAGGTTTGGCTGCGGCCGTTTCCCACTGCCAGGCTTTCCATCACTCGGCTGCTCTCCAGAGTGAGGCGAGAGGCTCAGCGGGTCGCTCGCAGGAAGGAATCGCTGCAACCTGAGCCAACACTGTTCGTTTTGAACGCTCACTGGGAACGGGCGTCGCGGGCATGCCTCAAGCCCTCCCGGTTCTGCCCGCCAGACTCGGCTCACTCACCCTACCAGCCCGAGCGCAGAGCCGGGTGCCCCACGGGTGCCTGGCGCTCGGCTCCTGCGGGCGGGAGTTTGCAGACTTGGCGTCCTGCGGACACTCAGGGAGTTGGGTCGTGCGCGCCGACCCAATGAGCGCGCCCCGCGAAGGGCTCGGCTCCCCCCGCGCGCGCTGATTGGTCCCGCGGCCTATGAGGCCGGGCTGGCCGGCTGCGGCCGGCGGCGGCGGCTAGTGCCCAGCGTGAGTGGGAGTGGCGCGCGCACCCCTCGCCGCCCCCCGACCCTCCCCGCTGCGTTTTCTCTCCCGCCTTCCTCCTCCCTCCCTGGCTCCCTCCCCGCACTCTCCGGCTCCGGCCGCGCGCTGGCGGGGCTCCGCATTGCACGCTCTGGGGGCGCCGCAGTGTTCGTGGGATGGGGCAGCGGGCTGCCACTGGAGGCCGGAATCCGCACGCAGCCCGGGTGAGTAGAGTCGGGCTTCCCGGGAGAGCACAAAAGGACACGGGGCTGGTGCCAGGGGCCCGAACTAATGCGGAGCCGGGGCCAAGAGGGAAGTGGACTTAGTCCTCGGAGCTACCCAGTGCTAAGACAGCCCCCTCTGCCTCCCTGCCCCCTCGCCCCGGGGCCGGCAGAGCTGGGGTCTCCTCTCTGCGTCGCTCCGGTGTTTTGCTCCTGAGTGGGCAGCCAGCACTGCACGCAGCCTGGGCAGGTACAGGGGGGCGTGTATGTGTGCTAGTGTGTAATGCTGGCGCTCAGGGGTGGGTTGGAAATGTCAGGACCTGCCAAGTTCAACGCGGGAGGAATCTTTCCCAAGAGTAATTAAGCACCTTCCCAAGGCCAAGCCTGCGTCCACCAGGAACTCCAGCCGGAGGGAGTTCCCGGGCGGCGGAGTGGCAGCGCCCCACATGTTGCTGCCTGGCGGGGGGGGGGATAGGGGGTTGGCGGCGGCGTTGGCGGCGGCTTGGGTGCGCCCACCCAGAGCCTCTGCCCGACGTGCAGTGAGCTGGGGCTGCTCCAGCCATTGCGAGGACTCACCGGGCCCTCCGACCACCCACCCGGGCGACTCCGCGCGGGGCCGTCCACCGACCCAGCCAGGGCTTCGCCTGGGCTTGACCTGGCGACTCGCTTTTCTTTTCGATAACAGCGGTTCGGTTGATTTACATTTGGTTAAAGTCACTTTTAACCTAAAGCTCTCTTTCGGTGTTTCTGACTTACTCTGACCCCCACCACAGTCTCACCAGCTCTCCTCTCTTCCCCTCCCCTCCCCCGCCCTCAGTATCGATCCTGCTTCTCAATGCGCGATTCAAAACTTGATGTTTGAACATAATTATATCCGGTTTGGTCCCTGGCGTCTTAAGTATCATGATCATTTGTCATTTTCTCTTAGACTAGCGGGACTTGTTATAATTTTTTGTTGGCGGGGTGTTGAGGGGGGGAGCAGATCTTTGGTAGCTATTTATTGGTAGAATAGCATTGACCTCCCTGAGCATATGACCAAAACAAAAAAAATGTTAAGGATCTTCCTCTGGTAACCTACCCAAGGTGTGACCTCCAAAATTCAATTTTCTTTGTGGGAAGCCAGGGAGTTTAGATTCTCCAAGGGGAAGCTTATTTCTTGTTAAATTGACTTACGGTGACATGCACTCGGGTTTGCTCTGCTCTGGCCAGCCATTGCAGATGCCATGATATTATTAGAGCAATTCCCTTAAAGCCATTACATTTTCTTTCGAGTGAGAGGACTTGGGGTGGCTGCTTAAAATTTTGGACCTGCACCTTATTTCTCTAGAAGGCATTAATGGCTACTGTATATGTGCTCACGTGTATCAAGTTTGCAAAAGATATTTGTGCAATCGTCCATGAAATGGCTTAATGCACATTTATGTTAAACCCATTTAAATGTAAAACATCTATCTGTTTTCAATTTTAGTTTCCACCTTGACCAAAGGCCCCAGACTGCAAACAGGACTTAAAAGAAGCTTCCTTGTTTAAACAGAGGTTTTACAGAACTCTAGTCCGTAGAGCACACAGTAAGCTTCCTGAGCTTGTAGGCACATAAAAGCTGTTACATTTGTGAATTGGCTCATTGGGTTAAAAATATCAGAAATGGTTCCAGACAAAAGAAGTAGCTATGATTCATGGGTCTATATTTTGAAGCTACTGACTGTCTTTGTGAGATGTTTATATCACACAGTGCGTAAATGGGCTGATTATAAGAAAATAATGCCAAGTAAAAGACTGTTACTATATATTGCATTATGCTGTACAATTTACATGGCCCATTAAGATCTGCTATTAAAGTGCCCGTGAGGAAGTCATGTTTTCATCACCCCCATTTTACAGGTGGAGCAACTGAGGCTCTCAGTGATTAAGTGACTTTTCCAAGGTGAATAGCAGAGTTCCAGTCCAGGGTTTTGTTGTTGTTGTTGTTTTTTCTTCAATTTCTTTGCCTTCTTGCTCTTTGCTCCCTCCCTCTCTTCCTTTATGTTGGGCTACACCTTTGGTGCCTTTCTACTTCCAATTTCTGTACCCCTTTTTACTATTCAACCCATGGCTTCAGTACCCTTATGTGCTGTTTCCAAAAGGCTTTGCTCTCTGCCAATTATCACTAAGCTCCCACTAGGGTGTGGGCTAATAAAGAATTAAGGAGAGAGCTAATTGGTTTTAAGGAACTACACTTTTCAAAGGGCTATATTATTTTTATTAATGGGTTGTTAAATGTACAAGTAATCAAAACCCTAAAGAATGAAGTATTAATGGTAATGTTTTAGTAAATCAGGTGACTAGATGTAGCAGAGATGTTTGAGAGACATGTAAGTCTCCTACTTTATAAGCATATTACTCATAAACTCTATTGGCAATCATAGCAAAGCCGCAATAATGATTATTTTATTAGTGCTGTTCTTATTTTGAAAAGAATTGACAAAACAGATTACTTAAATAAACCCAGAGCTGCTTTGGGCGGGGGACACCCACTTATCAAAAGTCCTGCAATCCTCATTACCTGGTGTACAAATGCAACAGAATAAATTGATTAAAGAGAAATCATGCTTTTCCTTGCATAGTTAGCAAGGAGCTTACAGATATCTGCCTATCTGATTACAGTAGTTTCCCCCTTACCTGCAATATATATGTTCCAAGACCCCCAGTGAATACCTGAAACCATGGGTAGTACAGGACCCTATATATATACTATGTTTTTTTCCATGTATACTTATCTATGATAAAGTTTAGTTTATAGATTAGGCATAATAAAAGAATAGCAACAATAATTAATGATAAAATAGAATAACTATAACAATAGACTATAGTAAAAGTTATGTGAATAGCTTTGGGACTATTATTACTTAAACTGAGGTTCACGAATACAAGTACTGTGATATTGAGGTAGTCGATTGAATGATAATCGAGAGAACTACTGCGCGACGTAATAGACAGGGAGTATATATGGTGTGGATATGCTGGATAAAGGGGTGATTCATGTCCCAGGAAGGGCAGAGCAGGACCGCAAGAGATTTCAGCATGCTCTTCAGAATGGTATGCAATTTAAAACATATGGTTGTTTATTTATGGGATTTTCTATTTAATATTTTCAAACTGTGGTTGACCACGGATAACAGAAACTGAGAAAAATGAAACTGCAGATCGGAGGTCGGGTACTGTATTTATTAAAAACTCATCATTTGTACATTTTTTCTTGTAAAATCATTGCCTACAGTATTTAACATTGCATACTACTTATTAAGATGAACAGAATTTTTTTCTTGCATTAATATAGGTAGCTATTGAGTTTACCAGTAATAAATCCTGGTGAAGTATGTGGGTTTTGGGTTCAAGTCCTGGCTTCACATATACTGGGACTTCAGAAAGTGATTGCACCTCTCTGCTTCAGTTGCCTTAAGTGTAAATCATGAATAATAATGGCACCTAACTCATGCAGATTTTCAACTTATCCATGCAGCAATATTTAGTGATCACCTACTATATGCCATCATTGCCTTAGGTGCTAGGGATACATAGACAGCTCTTTGCCAATAAACTTGACAGTCTAGTGCCTGAGAGTTGGTGACATGATGCATGTAAAGTGTTTAACATGGAACATGATACTAGTAAATGCCCCATGATTGTTAACTCTTGGTATCATACATTCATTCAGGAAATGTTCACTGAGTGCCTTGCAGATCCAATGCAAATTGGAGCATATACTGAATGAAGGATATTTTCATTCCATTCCAATTCCAGTTCCGTTCCGTTCTGTTCCATTCCATTCCATTCCATTCCATTCCATTCCATTCCATTCCATTCCATATTCTAATGGGAGAGAGGACTCCAAAGAAAAATGTAAAGTACATAAACAGTTCTCTAAAAGAGAATTCAAGTGCAGACATGTAAGGGAGAAAATGTAAAGGAATACTTAAATCAAATTGGACATAAACAAGTGGGAAGTATATGAATTTTCTTATGGGAACTCATACAAAAAATAAAGTTCTGGTATTAAACTCTTTGAAAATACATAGAAGAAAGTTAAGGAAAGAGAAAGAAGGCTTACTTATATACATGTAATGAAAAAGGAGTATTTGAAGGGTCAGGTTATTAAATTAAGCCCAGGAAGGGTGACAGATCCCAGGCACACTAAAAATGACATAGCCAAGAATGAACTTGAAAATATCTTGGCAATGGATTTCCAAGACAATAATGAAAGACTCTTAAATACTGTGAAATGAGAACTTTAGAAGCCCTTGGCTTATATCATACCAAACATATACTCAGAAATAAAAAAAAGAATATACAGTGTAAATGAATTCTGCACTTCTGATTTTGCTGAGTAATAATTCTACACCCAGACTTTCTCAAGCAATATATACATTGGAGGAAATGGCAAGTGCTCAGGATATTCTGGATCTGATCAGCAGACTAGCTGCAGATGACTCACCAAGACTAGATGGCCGTCACTCAAGTGTGCTGAAGAAACTTAGTGTGTAAGTGACAGCTCTCTGGGGCATTGGCTGGCATCCTTGGGGGTCTCCTGTCAGGAAAGGGTTTCAGGGAGGATCCTGGAGCCATCAAACCATATCCACATCCCTGTGGACAATTGGAAGACCAATATTCAAAACAAACATAGATCATAGCAAATATAACTTATTTTGTAGAAAAGGGGAATAATGTATTACAGTTAAAGGAGAAATATGTGTGCCTCTACAGAAAATGTGATATTTTAAACTTTACAAAGCCTGACCAGGTTTCAGATCTGAGTTCTTTCCCTACTCATGACTTTTTTGCTTGACAGAGAAAGAATAAACAAAGAGTGGAGATAAATAGACACTTCTCTGAGTGGACAAATAAGCCTTTTCCAGGAAGTAGTTTGGAGATGCTTTTATTTAATTTTATAAATGTTTACAGATGATATGCAATTCTTATGCATAAATGAAAACCAAGCTGATAAAGTTGAACCATAGAAGTAACTT